TCTCTCTCTCTCTCTCGCTCTTTCTCTCTCTCTCTCTCGCTCTTTCTCTCTCTCTGTCTGTCTATCATTCGTGCGTGCTTTCTCTGTGTCTTTCGCGCACTCTCTCTCTCTCCATCTTTCTCCTTCGTTTTCACGCTCTCCCTCTCTCACCCAATCTCTCTTTTTCTCTAAGGCTGTGTAAAAAGTGTTTTGCTGTGTTGAATATAATAAGTCACTATCGTTGCCAACGAAGCGGCTACACGCCATGAGTTTCACGCACACTCTAGTCGTGCTGCGCAGCACCGTATTGTAAACACACGCCGCGTGGATCTATTGCCATCCAACACGCAAAGGATACGAAGGGTTGCGAGCGGTAACACGCAATCAAAACACGGTGTCACGCGACGCAACGGCCGTCGCACAGAGAGACGTCGATTTCCACGCAGGTCTTTCCCTTAATGCGTTAGCCTATAGCGCCATGTCTGCATGTACAATCGTTCATGGCTGATTACCAGCACCTCACGACCTATGGCTACCATGCCCTACGTCGTACCTGATGCGATATTCACTGTCACATCCAAGTGTCATGCAGCGGCCAATAATCACAACAAGATATGTTTGCCTATCAACGTAGAATGGAGACGTGGACCACGAGTGTGTGCAACTCGCCAGTGTAACGTACCATAGACACGCATTTGGTGCGCTCTTGATGGCCGTCACAACATCCCCGTGGTCATCGTCAACGCAACACAACGCAACAAAAAACGACGCGATGCGCCACGGCACGACAAGACACGACACGATACAGCACTCACGACACAATCTTATATTATAAACGTACATTAACTTATTCTCTTACATGTTATATCGTTGCTAACAACAGTTGTACAGTAAATTAGTTCTACGCATGTATTACGTTTGCTCGAAATGACATTTCTCCACAAATAATGGTGGTTAATATGTGTTTGGTATCGTTATTTGTTGACAATTGTGAACTGTGGTAAGTTATAATATTCTAGTTATCTTTGTTGTATATTTACATGCGATGTTACTGGTTTTCATTTTCTTTAAATGAATAGATTATTCTGATGGTTGAAGTTGTTAGCACTAATGAATATTCTAGATTACGCTAGTCAGGCTGTATAGAATACGTAATCATTTATGTAATTATACTTTTTCTATAAACAAGAGTCGAAAAACTTTATTTTACATGATATTTGTTTATAATATGCATATTGATTAGAGTTTAGTTCCTATACAGACGTCATTATGGTCTACACTGGTTGTAATCAGCGTGGGAAATAAACATAGTAGCTTCTTAAGAACGTCCTGCTCTGGTGCATTTCTAGGAACGTAAAATATGATTAACACACTCATACATATAAACGAACACATCCACAGACATGCTAATCGTGTAGAGTTGAAATTCTGCAAATGTCTGTTCGGAACTCTCCAGACTTTGGGGTATATATATATATATATATGCTTATAATGTGGGCTGCCACATATTGCACATTCCAAGCAAAATGTTATCGTGTCGAAATAGCGCTTTTTAATCACAGAGCACAAGCAGACTTCTATTCAACAGGATCCGCTGCCTGTAAATATCTATCTACATAAATTAATTAAAAGATTATAATCCGCCGAATCTCCCTGTACTGTAACAGGATTGCGATGTACCAAGATCAAGTCGAACAGAAGAATTCATACTCAGAGAGGCATATTAAAATTAAACTGAATTAATTTGTCCTGATCATCTCACATTACACTTGATAAGGTGCGCTAGCTTGTCCGGTACTCGTGATAAGCATTTATGGCGTAGTCCGTTTACTGCATGTACATGTCCGTTTTCAACGAACTACTGCATGGTTTTTTTGAGAATGTCCAGGGGTGGGCATTCTCGAACCCAGATTTCCTTCATGTTCCTTAAGAGAAATTTCCCAAATTACGTTCATGTTTTGCAGGCTGTACAGTCCATCTGCAGTATATATTGGCAGGAAAAATCGATCCTTGTTAAACATTATACGTTTAAGGTAGATGGTAGACCCGCGAGCAATAGCGCTAAATGATGAATGTCTATCACAGGTCTTCACCTTTAACATTTCAATGAGTGGTACCTCGCATACACACATTTTCACTGCATGCACACGTCCATGTGTAGGCCTATTGTCTAATTCGAATTCAAATACCTTGAACTTTGCGTTGAACTTGGTATTGTCGTTTTAGCAAAATTGAGATTTTGATTGTGGTTAAGAACAAATTAATGCCTTGTTTGAAGACAAGAAGAGAATCTCTCCTAATATATAATGCCTTATTTTGATCATTACTAAGGGCGATTAAGCCATGATTGAAGATAATTCGTTTTTAAAATAATAGATTGAAGAATATTCGTTTTTAATTCGTTGTTGCTATATACTTATAACAATAATTCTAAGCTGAACGCAAAGCCAGCCGACAATCGTGAAATCGAGCTTTATGTTCGTACCACAATATTTCAGTTTTATTCGCCATAGGAACGGTCACGTCACGGTACACTCTCATTTGTATACATTCATCCAACTGTATATTTGACATCATTAAACATGAATGTTCGAAAACCTCTAGTTTAACAGTTGTTACTGTCATCTTTAATATTATATGTAAACTATAAAAAGTCATATTAGTTAACTTTCCTAAACGATATAAACAATGCCATGTACTTGAATTACTGGCACTATGAACTGTACATTCTTCCTTAATCGCGCTTGCGTTTAATTTCTATAACAATAATGAATAGAAACATGGGTATTGGAAGCGAGGGAGCGAGGAAAGGAGAGGGAGTAAATTGCCAGAGAGGGGGAATCATAGTCAAAATGTCGGGGAATGGGTGTGATCTAAATACTGTAATCATTGCTACTCATTGGGCTTCATCGTCTTATCATGCACGTTATTAAAGCACATTATCGCGCCAGAGTGAACCGCGTCTGCATTAGTGTGGCAGACGAACGCTGTGACGCAGGTAGGCAGAGACGCACCGGATCGCCTTATAGTGGATCTCGAGCTGTAACACGCGAATGGCGTGGCTCTGGTGTTAAAGTGCGTTTTGCGAAATTGTTGAGGTATTACTGTAGATTCATCACATGAGAGAATGCGCGAGCTCAGCATAGCATCAAGCCTTACACCTTGTCTCGCTCTCTCTCTCTCTCTCTCTCTCTCTCTCTCTCTCTCTCTCTCTCTTTCGCTCGCTCCTTCTCTCCCATTCTCTTCCTTTCTCTTTCTTTTTCCCCGCCTCTCTCTCTCTCTGTCTGTCTATCATTCGTGCGTGCTTTCTCTGTGTCTTTCGCGCACTCTCTCTCTCCATCTTTCTCCTTCGTTTTCACGCTCTCCCTCTCTCACCCAATCTCTCTTATTCTCTAAGGCTGTGTAAAAAGTGTTTTGCTGTGTTGAATATAATAAGGTACGGTGCTGCGCAGCACGACTAGAGTGTGCGTGAAACTCATGGCGTGTAGCCGCTTCGTTGGCAACGATAGTGAGGACCGCTAGGTAGCGGCCGTCGGCAGGCGTGTATGACCGCTAGGTAGCGGCCGTCGGCAGACGATGACCACGGGGATGTTGTGACGGCCATCAAGAGCGCACCAAATGCGTGTCTATGGTACGTTACACTGGCGAGTTGCACACACTCGTGGTCCACGTCTCCATTCTACGTTGATGGGCAAACATATCTTGTTGTGATTATTGGCCGCTGCATGACACTTGGATGTGACAGTGAATATCGAATCAGGTACGACGTGGTGCATGGTAGCCGTAGGTCGTCAGGTGCTGGTAATCAGCCATGAACGATTGTACATGCAGACATGGCGCTATAGGCTAACGCATTAAGGGAAAGACCTGCGTGGAAATCGACGTCTCTCTGTGCGACGGCCGTTGCGTCGCGTGACACCGTGTTTTGA